AGTTCAGTAAGTTTTTCCTTCAGTTCAGTAAGTTTTTCCTTTAGTTCAGTAAGTTTTTCCTTCAGTTCAGTAAGTTTTTCTTTCAGTTCAGTAAGTTTTTCCTTTTGTTCAGAAAGGTTTTCCTACAGTTTAGTAAGTTTTCCTTCAATTCAGGAAGTTTCTCCTTCAGTTCAGTAAGTTTTTTGTAGTTTTCCTTCAGTTTAGTAAGGTTTCCTTCAGTTCAGTAAGTTTTCCTTCAGTCCAAGAAGTTTTTCCTTCAATTTAGTAAGTTTTTTCTTCAATTCAGTAAGTTTCTTCTTCAGTTCAGTAAGTTTTTTTGTACAGTACAGTAGTTTTCCTTCAGTTCAGTAAGTTTTTCCATCAGTTCAGTAAGTTTTTCCTTTAATTTAGTAAGTTTTTCCTTCTATTTAGTAAGTTTTTCCCTTCAATTTAGTAAGTTTTCCTTCAGTCCAGTAAGTATTTCTTTCAGTTTAATAAGTTTCCTTCAGTTCAGTAAGTTTTTCCTTCAGGTTTAGTAAGTTTCTCCTTCTATACAGAAAGTATTTCTCTCAGTTCAGTAAGTTTTTCCTCCATTTCGAAGAGAATGTTTTCCTTTGTATATTTTTATTTAAAAATGCATTTTATAATTAAATAAATTATAAATGGGGTTTTCCACTGATAAAAATGATTTTATTTTTAAGGAAAAAATATTTTTTAAGGAAAATGCTTTGAATTTCTACGTATAGAACGAACGTCAAGGACAAAGGGTTTAAGGGTACTGTTGTGAATCGTACATGAAATTACGTTTACAAAGTCCGAATTTGATGAATTTGAGCTGCGTCTCAAATCCGCCAAAAACCGGCTTCAATTGAGCGCCGGCTAAAATCTTTAACATTGAAAAAAATTTAAGTGGAACCAACCATATTTGAGCCGCGTTTCAAATTGAAGCCGCGGCTCAAGTTCTTTAAATTCTGCCTCAGTCCCATTAATAAGTACAGGACTAATACTATGATTTTTCAGCCTCTTCAAGTTCCGAGAAGGCCGAAACCGCCGAACCCGAAATCAAATTAGAAGAGGTACGAACTTAAAAATCATAAGTAAAAGGAAACCAATAATTTCTGATTGGTTAAATGATTGAGTGATTGACTGATTGATTGATTGCTTGGTGGTTACGTTTACAATTCCAACAAACTGAAAATACTGACATTTTAATATTTTAGGGTGTTTTTCTCGTAGAATCGGAAATAGCAGGAATATTGTTATTTTTTT